GATTACGTTACTGTTGGTCATCTGTCCATCATCGTATAAAGCCCGCCCTGACAATTTGATTGGATCGCCTGACAGTGGGCAATAATACTCGCGCTACTATGGAGCAGAGCCAGACCGAACTTCCCCGACCTCAAACTTTGTGGGCGGGACTAAGTTTGGAATGGCACCCAGGCTATCTTTAACCCCTGAAACTTTGGGTGTGATTGACCTTAATTTCTTAAAGTTATAAGGGGGGAACAAATTATAGTGGGCCACCTGCTATAATCTGTTCCCCCTGTCTAAATCAGGCAAAAAAGGTCTCAACTTTTTTCATTTTTGGCTTATAAGCATCTTTTATGATGCCAAAAATTAAAAAGCTGGGACCAAAAACGGGCCGTTTTTTTCGGCTTTGTTTTCCGTTTTTGATTTGTAAATGGAAAAACTGAAATAGAGTCCGTTTTTGGTTTTCAAGAAAAAAAAAACATTTACCTGAAAGTACACGGACCGGTTAAACCTCAGTAGACCTGTAGTTAATCTAGTTGTCCAGCAGATGGCGATCTCTGACCTTGTTTGACTTCACCATCCAACCTTGAACATAAATAAAATTCCTTCTGCTTTTTACTTTCATTTAGAAACAGGCGTTATTAGAACAAACAAGCAGAAAGTCGACAGAGTGAAGCTGATGAAATGGCCGCTTCAGCTGATATTTCCAACTCAGGTCAGAGATCTTTTTATAAAACTTATCCTCAAACTTTATATTCATGGTTTATAATCTAGTAAACTCTTACTTTAGTGGATAAATATGTTAAATTCAGAGACTTTGGCCTTAAACAAAAAGTGAAGGTCAAACAAAATGGCTCCCTCTGCTTTTCTAGGTTTTCTTATTATGGTTTTTATTCTTGGTAATTATCTGTATTATTGTTGTACTCAAAATTTATAGTTGAATTAGAAAGTATTTTCTGTGATCGATTAACTTAAATAGATGTTTACAAACTGTGTGATAAAATAAAGCCTTCCCTCTCTTAACAGCACTGAGCCGCCCTGCTACAGAACTGAGGATTGTGTTGATAGGGGGAAGATACCCTGACCATTCCAGCGGTAAAAGCTCAGCTGGAAACATCATCCTGGGTCACAATGTTTTTGACACCAGCAGAAGAACAGCTCAGAGTGAAGC